TCTCCGGGATGACTCAGCCCCCTTTTCGGTGTTTGCACACCTTCTCCGGGATGACTCGGCACCCTTTTCGGTGTTTGCACACCTTCTCCGGGATGACTCGGCACCCTTTTCGGTGTTTGCACACCTTCTCCGGGATGACTCAGCACCCTTGTGCCTTCGCTTGTAACTTTAACAGGCGTGCTTTTCACCTTTGCACTAGGTCTACTCTCCACCACCTTATTTTCTACAGAAATAAGTTTTTCCTTCCATCCTTTTACTGTACCTTGTGCCTCTGTCCAGTTTGTCGTCCCTTTCTTTTGTTTAATTTTCACCTCTGTTGGTTTACGCAACTCAGGCAGTGTTTCGCTGGAGCCCCCCAAGTCTGGGAGCTGTTTTCTCTCATCCAGTTCACAGGCACTTGCTCCAGGCCTTTCGGACTGTTTCCGTTTTCTTGCCGTAAAAATGTCCTCCTGGCTGTCGCTGGCAGCCTTGCAAAGAGGGCTCTGTGTGGATCTCTGTTTGAGCTCAGCCCTGTGCTGTAAAGGGTGGGGGGCATGTCGTACCCCTGGGGATAGGGCTTGCTGGACAGTTAAACCAGCGTCCCTCCCCATAGGGACCAGTCTGCCCTCAGGGGGTCTGGACCCTTCTTCCAAATCATGCCGTTTCACACCCTTAACATCCTTCAATCCCGGCATGAGAAAGCAGAGGACAAAAAGAGGGAAAGCGTTAGAGAAATGAGTGAACCTGCCGAGGAGGCAAAGAGCTGAGCTCAAGGCTGAAAAGCAAACAGAGAGACGGCAGGCGATGTTAATATGAGCGAAAGACACAGACAGGCGGACAGGAATAAAACCATCAAGGTCTCGAGCTATTCAAGAAAAACTCACAGCTACTGTCAGACGCCCTTCCCCAAATGAAGTGATGCAATTTAAACTTCAATTGTTTGATTTCAGCTGAATATAATATACATTTGTATAAAAGAATACGGCAGTAAACGGAACATGCCGACAAGAAACCATCTGAACATCAGAACAGCCACATAATAGGGACAGGCGATTTTCAGACTTACTGAACATAATTAAGAATAAGACAGCGTGATAAAAAGCCCCATGTGCTTCTTGAGCACAACCACAGTGACCTTATGAAACCATGCTCGTGTTTTTAGCATAGAGAAATGTGGCAACCAATGAAATCTCCAGCACTCAGGCTAAGGTCACAGCCATGGGTTTGGTGTAAGGGCTGATGGCATAATAGTGTAATTATCATGGAAGATGAAGCGATGGCTTTATCTTCTTATGGGCTGGAGATGACGCCCAGGTCTGGTGAGCACCGTCCTCCTTCCTCGCATGGGTCTGCCACACATTGTGAGGACTTTACTTACTGAAATGCATTTGACTTCATAATGTATTAATATAACTGACATCTTCGAGGTACAAACATTAAATAGGTTTTTGGAATATGCACAGTTGTACAAGATATTTCACATCCTTTATTTTTTAATTGAATAAAGAATAAAGAACATGTGTAACAAAAAAAAACTAATTTTATGGAACTCTTCATTGAAGAACAAGTCTGTACTATGCCAGATTGCCTCAAAAACAGCTAATCTAAACTGTAATGCTCTCTCTTAAGTAGCTGTTTAAGGATTTGACCCACAAGTTTAATATATCATACCAGAAATCCTTCAGAAGTCACCAAAAGGAATGAAAGTCACAACAATCTAAGAAAAAAGTATGAGTCTAAAGACTCAGAAAAAAAATATTCTGGCTGGATCAGGAGAATGGCCCTCCCACTTAAGGTTTAAGAAGGCCAATAGGAACTACAGCGCCATCTGCTGTACACACAGGATATTTGATAGCATATTAATAAAATAAAGAGATGATGCATGTTTGTATCAGGACCACATCTCACGATGCTCATGAACTGTACTCTATAAGTTCAGCAGTAATTCTTACCTTCATTGTCATAGCTGATGCATCGCATTTCAAAAAGCCAGAATATATAAAAATATGTGCCATATTGAAAGCACAGTAAAGAAAAGAAAGTTAATTAAAAAAGTTAATTGCACTTACTAAGTTTAGCTTATCAGTGGTGCCACCTAGATCTTTCATTTTCATTTCATTATCTTCTGTATCTTCTGGGTCTTTGCTTGTGACTTTTTCTGAAAGACATATTCATTATGGCCAGACCCATTAACCAGTTGAAGACTTTATTCACATAATCAGGAATGCTGTAATGTAGCAGAACTTCAGCTGCAATACTAATTTCTGGGTCTAAATCACTCAGTATCTTTCCTGTAATTTGAAAATTCCAGAGTACATCTGACTGTGGCTTCCAAAAATGTAACCAATTTCAGAATGTAACCAATTTCAGAATTCTTTTAGGGTTTAAAACCTGAAGGTAAATCATCTGCATCTAAAAATGAATCATTTCAGACAAACAGAAAATGGAACCTCATTGAAACGAAGCACAAAAAATGACTTCAGCCTTTACCCAAAAGCACGGCCCTTACAAGTATCTGCAAATCACTTCTCGGCAGGTAAAGAATGAGGAGACGGCAGCGTCTGACAGAGATACCAGTTCTAGAAGGGATTGGTCTGAAGGTGGAGAGGCCATTCTGCAGTCCCCTGGTAGCTGGTTCCGTAGAGGGGGGTCTAAGATGGATGATACGGCTGGAAAAGGGTAAGGAGGTCCTGAAGAAGCCGGACTTGAGATGAGTTTGGACCATCAGTCCAAACTGTTCTTGAGATTGCTCCTAAAAATGACCACAGGCCTTAGTATATTTGTTGGTTACTGACCACTTACATTAGAATTCCATATATCCATCCGTTCATCTATCTATCTTCTGTACCCGCTTCTTCTGTGCAAGGTTGCTGGATTCCAGGGCCTATCCTGAAATCTACAGGTGCAAAGGCAGGGAATAACCCAGGATGGGGCACCAACCCATCACAGGGCACACACACACCTATAGGTAACTTGGCAACACCAATTCAACTTAACATATTTTTGGAGTGTGGGGGAAAACCAGAGGACAACCCATGACAAAACGGGGAAAATACACAAACTCCACACACTTAGAGCAGCGGCAGAGACTCGAACCCAGGTCCCAAAGGTGTGAGATAACAGTGCTAACCACAGCACTACCATGCCAATACCAAACCGAGCATACATGAAGTTTAAATATATACAATTTGTTTTAAAATGTATTTAAAAAAACGTAACATTCCCGACCCTACAGCAGGGTCTGAGCCCATCAGGACAGCGACGCTCTCCTTCCCGACGCTCACCCACCCTCCGTCTGCGCCTGACCCGAGCCGACATGCTCCTGGGGACAGTCGGATAGGTGACACTGCCCTCCTGGACCTCACTGTAGGATGTCCCCAGGCTGTCTTCCGTGATGTCGTCTTCTTCTAGCGACACTTGTCTGGAGGACCTGGACCTAGGTCTGGCCAGAACCAGCATGTGGTACCCACCACATGCAACCTGGATTGCACAAATGTCACAAAGCATGCAGTGCCCCCATGTGGTGAATGACAAACCATGCCCGTAACAGACAGTATGCTACATCCTTCCTGACGGCTATCATTAGCATGTTTAGGCTAAAGACTTACCGACTGTACATGATACTTTAAGAAGCGTGGACACAGAGTAGGTTTAAACTGATTAGTGTATGTTTCCTCTCCCAGACCAAGCTTCCCATGTCGGCCATCTCCAAACGTGTAGAGAAGACCACTGTCTGGAAACAAGGGCACAAATCAATGTTCTGGGCTTTCTGCATATTATGGACAACTTCTCGCTGAACACTGATTGGCTCCTGCTCTTATAAAAAATAACGAATAATGAGAATTTATTGGACTAGGACCTTGTAATTTGTATGATAGCAATGCAAATAACAGGCAGTTAATATATACAGTGCAGTACTGCTTACCGGTGATTACAGCACTGTGGTTTTCTCCACACACCACTTGTCTGACTTTCCCCTTCTGGAAGTGGTCCACCAGTCTGGGGAGACTGGCCTGAAAGACGAACGTCCCGTGGCCCAGTTGTCCAAACTGGCCCATGCCAAAGGAGTAGATGTCCCTCTCTGGTCATGGCCAAGAGAGAGAGGGCAGTCACAAGCTTATGTACCCTTGGCGTAATATGCGTCTTTTGACAATTTTAGCTTTCAACTTTCTCTCTGCTTTCGTAAGAAAGTGTCCTCAATTTTGTGGGGAAAAAAAAACAGCGAATAAAGAATATAAGCTAAGAATTAAAGTTGACTCTAGTATTTTCTGCCTTGAAACTACAACAAAAGCTCTGCATGCTGATTCTATTAGGAATTTCAGGGAGTCCCCAGTGTCCTACCTGTGAGCGCTACGGTGTGACCCCCACCACAGGCCACCTGGGTGACCCTGTCGGGGATTCCCTGAACCACTTGGGGGACTCTGTGGCTGTCCCACTGCTTGGGAGGCAGGCCCAACCTGCCGCCGCCGCACTCCCCGAACGTGTACAGGTGCCCGTCGACTGGAACGTAAGAGCAGGATGCGACCGGTCATAGAGGCACCAACCCCGTGGCTGAAATCGCTCTGCTGAGCCCCAGAAGGACGGCGAGACGCTCGACGTCATACCGGTGACGAAGGCCGAATGGCAGCAGCCACAGGACACCCAGGTCACCGGCCTCCCCACAGCTACGTCTCGAGGTTTCAGGGCCCGGCTTTCGTTCCCCAGACCAATTTGGCCCTCCCTGTTGTCCCCCCACATAAAAAGCTTTCCTTCCCCTGTATTAACAAGATACAAAAAGATGCATTAAAAATATCACCTCTACACAGCCTACTCATTTGTATACTAGCACATAAAGCTACACCTAATTCATTACACACTCTGCTTCCATGCCAGTTTGTACAATCTTTCCTTATCCATTGGGTGAGTGAACAGTATTTCTTTGTTTATTTCTTAATGTCAATGTCTGAAAATGTCATTTTTAAATATATATATATATATATTTATATTCTATTTATTACGTTCTCATTTGCACTGTGACCAACAAAAACAATATTTTACCTCAGAGTATGAATCATATATCTGAACATGATGAAAAATATGCTGGAAAGAGAAATGATTCTTTCATTGCCCGAAGCTATGACTCCTGTAATGGTGTTGGGTTGTTAGGACACTTGGATAATGACTAAACTCAATCAAGTCGGCCATATTGATACATGCTGGCATCCTTCAGTAAAGCTCATGACATAAGGCCTGGTCATACCGGTGAGAGCAGCAGAGGTGTTGCAGCCTGCAGCCAACATTTTGATAGCTTCTCGTCCCCTGAAGAACGGAAGACGCTCAAAGGAGACCCTTTCCTTGCAGTCTCCGAGACCTAGCTGACCTTCGCTGTTACCCCCAGCAACGTAGAGGTTCCCACGAGCTGAAAGCAAGAATTATCCTTCAGCAATAGCCCAAGCAATACTCTTGCCGTCACTCTAGAGCAGGGTTCTTCAACTCTGGACCTCGATGGCCTTGTTTTCAGTTCTCCCAGGTAGTTAGTTTAATAATTACTGATTCTGATTGGTCAGAGGCCGAGCAGTGCTCGGACCTCGAGGACCGTGATTTGAATAACCCTGCTCTACAGTCTAACACTATACCCCACGTCCCAATATTCATTTGATACAGGCAGGAATTATAAAATATGACGTGTTTTCAAAAGCATGTGTTTGTTCACAGTCTTCAATGAACTTTGTGCAAAATATGCAAATCTCTAAAAAAAAATTTTTTTTGATGACTTGTATACAGTATATGAGTCTGTGTCCATAAAACTAATTAAACCAACTGAATTTAGCAAATAACACTTTTACAAGGAAATATGTCATAAAGTGAGACAATGTGATACATAAAAATTTTATAGAAGACATATAAACAGAAAAAAATAAAATGTACCCTTGGAGAGTACAGATAACAAACATGACTGAGAGGGAGAGACAGCTGCTGGAACTGTGCCGTCTTTGTCCACTGACCGACAACTGTGTGACTGCAGTGAATCATGCCGACAGTGAATCCATTATGCAGGTATTGGATCAGGCTGGCTTTCTGGGTTCAGTTTATGACCTGACCCTAGCAATTTGAAGTGATAGTTATGTACTGCATATTACTCTTGATACAGACTCATTGACTATTTATCATTGATTACATAACCAGGCACCACGCATATATCGTCTAGGTCCCTCTCTTCTGCACTGTCCCATGTTTCTGCACTTTCAGAATTATTGCTAAGGTCCATTTTACTTCTGGCTTTTCCACGCTAAATACAGATGCATGTCACTGCAGATTGGCTACAATAATATCTAAACCACAGACATTTGATGATGAATGTCGGCGACGTGCACAAACTTACACGTGTATACGAGTGTGTGATTCCGCCCACAAGCTGCAAGCTTGACTTTTTCAGTCTTCAGAGCTTGTACAAAATAAAGAGTTAATCGCTTCTTTAAAATGTGGAAACTGCATTTATTTAATTGATGCACCAAAAACAGAAACATATAACCATTTGACAAAATTCACTTAAATACATTTATGTTAATCATAGTCAAATTAATTTCAGTTGTTTAAACCTTCCTTTAAGATTTTACATTAGATTATAGTCATCTAGGACTTTCATTCATGTCTTTGACACAAATTACCCACGTGTTGAAAATCACATATCTAATCGTATCAAAGTATAGATTTATTATATAAAGACAGCTTTTCAATTGAAGGCATGATCACCCTTATAAGGAAGCCAAAATGTTCTGTTAAAATGAACTATTAGTGCAGCACAGCACAGTTTACAGTGAGTTCAGTTATCTAACAGTCACAGCAGTTTCCTCAGACTTTCTCTTGACATTTTTTTAGACACATACATACAGCATCATCCTTTAACAGTGCTGTGAGCTCACCAATCACATATATGTCTGTAAGTCACATGCACTGCTTTGTAGCATGACAGACGCAGCATCACAGTCACGTCCAATAGCAGGTATAAACTGAAAAAAGCCAGACCACTGACCCACAACCACGATTTAACCCGATTGGTCACCTGCTCCTATTCTGCCCTCAAAGCCAATAAAATACCCTGCTTTCCCAGCTCTGTCACTACTGGCCCCAGGGGCGGATTAAGGTGTACAGAGGCCCCTAGGCTACAGTAGTCTGTGGGCCCCCCAACCCCGCCCCCCTCCGTGCCAATGGGGGCCCTCTTGCAGGCTGGCACACGTGGGGCCCCTAGGCTTAAGCCATATCTAGCCTGTGCATTAATCCGCCCCTGACTGGCCCCATTGTACATTTCCAATCCCAGCTTGTATAGATTCAGTCTCTTATCATGTTCGTTTTTACAATCCACTTAATTAATATTGCAATTAAAAATGGGAAAACCCTTCGGATCAAAGCAAAGCATATAGGCTTAAATAAAAACGCATTGCTATTGTCCATTCACTTTGTCTCCGTGTCTTTTTGAAATAGGCAAACACTTTTCCCTGCAAAGTACTTTCAGTAATGTATCCTAGCAGTAAACCAGCAACACACATGCTATCAGCCTTATCTGTGTTTTCTGCTTCTTCTGAGATTACAGAAGATTACCAAGCACTCCAGATGGGGATTAGACGGGCACAGTAGGAACGACAGTCTCTCGCTTCAGCTCACCTCGCACTAGTAAGTAGAATCGAACCCACAAATAAAATCTACGATATAATGTTTAAAAAGTCCACATACATAGAGGGATGAGTGCTATTTAAAATACTTTAAGATCTAGACAGTTTGTAGACTTGTAGTGATGACCAATTCATGCCAGAGGCCTTAATGCCAGAACAACAAACACTTCCTGTATTTAGAAAGAGAAATTAAGGGATCAGAAGCCATAATTTTTTTTATTAGTAGTAGTTATAGTTTTTATTTTATTTATTACTAACCTTTCACACAAGTGGGCTTGTTCACTGCGGCCTTTGTTCCCAGACCCAACTGGCCCCAGTTATTAACCCCGAACATGTACAGTTTTCCGTTGCCTAGGGTACAGAAAACATTACAGAATTATAAAATGGCCTGTGGATTGGCTCAGCTGCACAAAGATGGATGTCTAAAGGATGCTCTATTAAGATCAGGAAAGAAATCTTACAGGAGCCAAATGAACTGACAGCCCGCTTAAATTATACTGATTTTAATTTTAAGAAGAATGTTACAACACCTGTAATCAATGCTGTATGGTCATCACCGCAGCATATCTTCAGGGCTTTGTCGTTCTTGAACCAGAATTTGCTGGGTACATTGTCAGCAAACCTGCTCTTTCCAAATGTGAAAATAGCTCCAGATCCTGTTTGTGGAACATAACGAACCAAAACCTTATCAGTATTACACTAGAATGTGGTATTTAAAGAAAAGAGGAAAAATCGAGAATCAAATTGCAGAGCCATAAGAGTAGCTTTAAGAAGTAAACTGCATAACGTGAGTCTATTCTGGGCATATTTAAATTGACTGATGATCAATATCTCTGCATTTTCGCAAATGCAGTTAAATATTCTACAATTAAGATACTGACAAAATACCAGTTGGCCCCAATACGTGGACTCCATTCAGTGCAACAAGTAGGTAAAGACCCCAGTTTATCTAACGAATACTGGAGTGACATTCTGCACTTACCGGGTATATCGTCTTCACTTCCCCCTGCCATGTCTGTGCCGACACCCCTAAAGGTCCGATGACAGTGCCTAAAGAAATACTAACAGACTAAATTCGCATAGGTGACGCTCTATGGAATCAAAAGAGGCGATTATTCCACACCACTTCCCCTTATGCTAAAGATTGTTTGCAGTAGTTGGCACGCGTAACAGTAAAAATAAATCTTTCTGTATCCAAACGTGTTTAGAGACATTCACATCCAGCAACAGTTCCTAATAACCTGATTAGCTTGGTCGACTTGGAACAAACTATCTGGACTAGTATATTCATTCTAAATGCGTTTGAAGAAATAGCTAAACCTAGCTGGACATATCTATGGTTGTGTAGGACTACTGGAAATTATCTTCGTCAGTGAAAAGCTCCACACGTGTTTACCGTAATGACAAAAAAGCGATGCTTATGTGTTTACACGCTTGACCCGCCCAAAAAGATTGTCCTGCCTGAGCCACCGTAGTGCCAAGTGCTTAGGATTATTTTGTAACGAATAATGCACGAGCGCATAATGAAATCGGCTTTGATCGTGGTAGGGGTTTTAATGAGCTGTTCTGTGGAAATATTTCACCTTATTTTATTGTCGCTGGTATTTCAAAAACTAGTACCAGCAATCTAATAGTAACTATTTCTCAAAGAGCGATGTTCACACATATGGTAAAGTATATTTATTGAGGACAAACGAATGCCATTTCAACTTTTATTTGCGTGCTTATGTATTTAAGACCTGTTTCTTTCAATAAAATGCACTGCCAAGATATGTGGAGAATATACGGAAACATTTTCCCGGAAATAGGTGCCACATTAAAATGCATACAGCTTACAATAACAAGAACGAAATGGCGATCTATAAATAAAACCGAAAATAAGAGTATCGAAGAGTGCTTTTCTTTTTTTTTAATGTTTTCTCGAAAATATTTTCTACGGCGTAATAAGCATTCTAATGGGCTAGTAGTAGGCTATGGGTGTGATATGTGCATACATGCACTTAAAATAATCCCCACATGAGCAGTTTGTCGCATGACTCACAGATGCCTGATTCCCACCACGCTTCGTATCAATGCCCCCTTAAGGGTTCACGATAGACTGTAAATGTAGCTGTGTGATTTGGGACAGTGTAATGAAAATTTTGAAGTTGGGTTGTGAACTGTTTTCACAACTGCGTGTGTCATTCTACGGGTGCCCAGTGATATCCGAAGGACTTTTAACTCTCAGAATTGATCCAACAATGCATTCAGACTTTTAATCCATCAAACAATACGGATGCAAATTATTTTAACATGCTAGCGCACTACATGGAAGTGTGTGAAATTAAAGCAGAATGGATACGCCCATTTGTCACAGCCTTCGTACTGTCATCATACTAAAGCATCAATGCAAATAGTCTTCCAGTAAGAATGTGTTTCTCCTTAGGAATTTTATGACATTTCAGTTTGTTTGCTAATCACCACGTAAGGATCGAAGGTCAATAAAATATTTGTTTTAAAACAGTAAGAATGAAAGCATTTGCATTCCGTGTGTTTAAGTATGGGTATTCGTGATTTAATAGATTTACAATCTCGCAAACGTTCTAATAAATTTATATGCGTATGTGTATGAACATTAACCGTTGCATAAATACATTAAGTATTTTATTGTTTAAATGGTTTATCGGATTTAATTGTATAGCCTACCAGCCACAATCCACAATACAAGGAAAACGACTGTTAATCTCCGTTCATTGAGGATTAGTTTTTAAACGGAGAAGAGTTTTCTTTCAGATTCACTGTAAGTAAATACAATTTGTTCTGAAAACATAACGGCTGAACGTTGCAAGAAGCCTTATTTTTAAGCTGCTGGTGATGTGATGTGTGTCCAGCGGGGGGTGTTACCCATGGGGCGGGGCTGTGGAGCAATTCTGCACGTTCATTGGCTGATTTCTGTAGGGCGGCTGCGCTGTGCGAGACTGCGGTGAATCTGCTGCGCGAAGCCCAGTGGACGATCGCAGCAGCGCAAGTCCCGTAAAAAAAATCCGCACTCCGTTATACCGTAGTATGGCATCCAGGAGAATGGAGACCAAACCAGTGATAACCTGCCTTAAAACGCTCCTCATTGTCTATTCCTTCGTGTTTTGGGTAAGTGGATACATGATCTCAAAGGTGTTTGGCATGGTGAATGTGTTTGTAAATAGATTATGCGAAATACTGGTGTAGTATTATTTGTAATAGACGGTTTGCGCGAAAGCGCTCACGTAAACGTCATGCCATTGACAAAGGCAACATGCGCGCACATGATCCACTTCTTGAAATTGAAATGCATTTTGTTGCGTTGGTCACAAAGAGGATTTCCAACGTTTTTCAATACACTGTTATTCAGTCTTTACATAAGCTAAATGTGAAGTCAGATATGTGTGTGTGTGTGTGTGTGTGTGTGTGTGAGAGAGAGTGTGTAATTCATATAATATATAACTGAAAAGCGTTACCATTTTTCCATTCAACTAATGAAGCTGTTTCATGAGCCGCTATTACCGAGGCAATTAATCGGCTCACATAAAAATTTGGACTTAAAAAACAGGATTTAAGGGGAAAAATGAATTTAATCGTAACACATCCTTTCATCATAGGCCAGCCCGGGTGTCACTTGTTCGTAAAATATTATACATCGGTTTTTTTCAGATTGGTTAATTTACAAACTTCTAGACTTCTTGCCGACACACTACGTGTATTCCGTAAATTTAAATTAAACGCAAATAGCTTGTACCGTGGATAGGGCTTAATTTACCAGTGAACGCTGAAATGAGAAGATGAACAACGTCCATATTAACGCTGCATTTGTGCCAGACGACCCTCTATGGGTAATGAATGAAAAAAGTAGAAAGTCAATAAATCATTAGGTTACAATGCATTTTTACTGTAATGTATAATATGTTACTGTTTACCCTGTGAGACATGTTAGATACTCACTTAAACATTAGTCTGCGATATAAACGATAAAAGTACATGGGGAAATTGTTTGATTTATGTCAGTGTAATTGCAGATATCTGAATCAAAACTTTTGCGGTTACAATATGGAAAGAACAGGTTAAGTTTTATCCTGATAAATTATCCTTGTCAGTGAGTTCCTAAGGACTGCTGGGGAAACGATGCTGTCCTTTCTGTTATCAGCGCGTTTGAATGATGAGTATACATAACAGAGAAAGACGTCGATGTTTCACACACGTATTCACATTGACATTTATTATAACCTACATAGGTCTAGTACATTGAAATTTTCCAAACTTAAGTTCTGACAGTCGTTGCTTATAATAATAATAATAATAATAATAATAAGAAAAATCTTTTACATTATGACCGTTCATTGTCGCCTAAATTCGATACAAGGTCCCGTGGGTGGCAACATTACATTACTGTTGTTACATTATTGTTTAAGTGCCGTAAAATCGATTCACTAACAGAAATAAAACGCTATTCAGTCCTGGCTTAGTCGCTGTTTTGTTAAAGATCGCAATTTCTCACATCCGAACCTTTTTTATGTTCTCCTTTGTTATTCTGTCAGCTGAGGTGCGGTGTCTGGTTTTTATCATATGAAATTCGGTGCCTTGCTGCATATTGAGGTTTTTTTTTTTGCATTGTTAAGAAGCATTACAGGTGACAAGTAAAAACGACTGAATCTGTCAACTGTGCATGCATCCACCTCTCCATCCATCAAATTTCCATAACTGCTCATCCAACCCAAGGTGGAATTGAATCTGGAGCACAGGTAGCAAAGGTCACAGTAACTCACTGTTGGGGACACCATTTTGCCTAACTGCATCTTTTTGAACTGCTGGGGGGACCTCAGTAAGGACCTGCATGGAGAAAACCCAGACAGATTTTACATTTACACATAATACATTTAAATTTTACATTCTTCATTTATAACATTCAGAAATATTTTGGAAGCTATTGCCTTTAGTATGCATTGACAAAAAAAACTTTTAATTGCTATTTATTGTCATTACATTTAATATAAGGATCTGTAGGGAGGTAACATTACATAACTGCTAAAGCAGTAAAGTGTGTAAAAGTGGTTCTGGCTTAGATGCTGTTTTGTCGCAGCTTTTGTACACATATGTTAAAGATAGAATTGCATAGGATGGGAGAGGTGAGCATGTCAGGCTAGCTGTTAGTATCTGCCTCAGACGGTTCCCCCATTCGTACTGCTTTAAATGTGTTTACAAACTGATCCTGCTTCTCTCCTTGCTGGTATTTTAAGCAGACGGGCATGCCTTCTTTAGGGTGGCGGGATGGTGACGTAATGTTTCCTAGTTCCTGGGGATACTTCAAGGGTCCGTCATGTGCTGCATTTCGCAATATTTTGATGCTGAAGATTTTATTATTATTTTTTTTTTTCTAGTAGTCTGAGTGAAAGTTTGCCAAGTTTAATTTCCTATGGTTACTGCGGACGGCGAACACTCCTCTAGCTCTAGCTAAAGGGTGAATAGGCCTGGGGTCTCCAAACGACCTGCGTTGGGGTGGAGGACGTGAAATGATCATCGATGTTCTTGGCAGCGGGGCTCTCAAAAGGTGGAGCCAGCCCTGTCACCTGGGTAAAAAAAAAAACAATTTGAAGGCTGCTTGTCAGCTATTATCAGAATTCTTCCCTTGGTATAGAGAATGGGTGCCCATGTGACTAATGCATTGCATTGTGGGATTGATGCCATCACTGTCGGCAACATCTTTGGTATTTACCACCTTGGCCGCTCCCGTTTATTCAGGCTACTTTGTAGAACTTTCCAAGAAGGTGAGGAAGGAAGGAAATACAAAAACTCCCAGGGTGGGAAAAAATAAACATAGGGGTTCAAGGTCAACTGTCAGGCTAAGCTCTTTAGGTATGCTAATGTTATTCTGGGCAGGAGGACATGGGCACGTGTTGTTAGAGGTTAAAAGCGGAAATAGGGGCTCCTGTCTGGCCTTTTGTTAGGACACTGTAATGCACAGTGAGTGAGCCGATGCTGGGTCTCCTAATGGGTAAGTTGTACTCTTCTGAACATTTCTTTGCATGTAACGCTGTTGTATTATTGTGGTCCATTCAGAAATCATCTCAGTAATATAAAACTTATTATCCCATAACTGTAATTTTTAGGATGGTGTTACGAATAGGAAATTGCTTTGTGCCGGATATATTTTGTATGCATGCAAGCATGTTGCCTCATTAAGTCAGGCTGAATGTTACTGATTTAACGAAAAACATTCATAATAGGATATGTATCAGAAGTTAATCATTTTTTTGTTGTATGAGAAGGTGGATCTTGCCTGTATACCTGATCGTTCTCTTCAGCGATAGAAAGTTCAGGTTCAGGAAGTACAAATCCAGATCAAGATTTTGTTTGAAGCAACCAGTTGGGTATTCTGTGGAGTCTTTGTACTCAACTGGTTGGTTGAAACAAAATCTTGGTCTGGATTTTTACTTTCTGGACCCAAACTTCTGCTTCTCACTACAGCCTCACCTGTGCAGCACGGCCTTTATTTCTCCTGAATGACTGATATATTTCTTACAATCAGCACCTGCTGCAGTATTTTATCTAGAGCTCTTTAGGTGCAAAGAGCAAAGCTCTGCATAAATTTATTGGCCCACCTGCTCTGTTGAGATGGTGGATGTCACATTTCAGCGGGTTTCATTGTACACTGTATAGGGGTATTGTAAAGGTATATGATTAAACATCTGCACTGGATGTAAACGGGCAGAAGTGATGATAGAAAGAAGAATGGCAGAATGGGAGCTCTGTTGGCACTGATGTTGTTTGCAGTAAAGAATGGGTCTGCCTTCACTGGACCTGCTGGTCTGGTGTTCTGGAATGCATGCTGATATTCTGTTGCCTTGGATATCTCGAGAGATTTTAGTAACTGTATTTATTTTTACTTTTTTATTCAGTCATGAGTCCAAACCAGATGCAACTGGTTTGAGCTGTCGTTTGTCTTAAGGATACAAGCCAGGTAGCAGAAACAGGAAGCTCCTCTTCTGCTTATCTGGGGAGCTTGTAGCTTGTTTACATGCCATTTATTTCATTCGTGTACTTTATTTAGCAGATGCTTTTGTCCGAAGCAATTAACAAGTGAAGAAAATAATGCATTACAAATGTACAGCTTTCGAGGATTCAACTAGGCATAAGTTCAGCAAATGAATGCCCAGTTACAAGTGTAAGCAGTAAAATCTAGTGCCAGGCTAAATTTAGTTAAATTTAGTTGGTTTGTTAAATTTAGTGCCACGCTGAACACGGAGCCTTTACTTTTTAAAGAACATCCCGGGTTACAGGTCCTGGATATAAAGGGGATCAAACCCGTCATTCATTTGCCTGGTTTCCATAATCGCTTATCATGGACATGGAGGCCATGAGTCTGTAGCCCATTGCAGGTGGCATTTGGCACAAGGCAGAGGTACATCCTGGACAGGATGCTAGTATACTACAGGACAGACATACGGTCACACACTATTGGTTATTTAGGGCAGTGTTTCCCAATCCAGTCCTTAGGGACTCACAGCCAGTCCACATTTTTGCTCCCCTCGAGCTCCCTACTAGACAGTCCACATTTTTGCTCACTTCGGGAGCTGGGAGGGAGCAAAAATGTGGACTGACTGTGGGTCCCTGAGGACGGAACTGCGAAACACTGATTTAGAGTAATCACTTCACCTAACTGCATCTTTGTGAACTGGAAACTGGAGTACATGTTGGAAACACACACAAAATGGCTATAAGAAACAATCAGCGCACACAAAGGGAGGGAGAATTCCCTCATGGCGAATCTATATGCCAAAGTATAATCATACTGAAATCATACCGAACACAAAATAGATGTATTACAGTATTAGCCAATAGCAGTTTCAGCCGCTGTCACTGTCGTCTTGCTGGTGAACAAACTCACTAGGATGTGGTGTAATCGCTCCATATTACCCCTGTCTCTCCTCGGCTTCCCAGTTTAGCCAAGACGTCTTCCTGCCCCTGAGCTCTGCCAAGGACAATGTGACTTTGTGAAGCTGCAGTAATTTGAGCTTGGGGTAAATATATGGATGGAATGGAATGTCCAGTCCCCAGACGGGGTGTTTTAATTTCTCGACACTAACCCCCTGCAAGTTCTTCACCCTGTGCATTGAGGA